AACATATTTAAAATAAATAAAAACTTACTTTAAGTTATAGTTTTCTAAATCTATTGTTTAAACATGTTTTTTTTTGGTATTGTTTTATGTATTATGTATTACTATTTATGGCATTGTTTTATGTATGTAGTATTGTTGTATGTATGTTGTTTTCTATAGACTATTATTGTTTTGAGTCTGGTTATAGATTTTTTTGGACCTTTGCTTTGGACCTTTGAAGATTTGTTTGCTGATTTTCCTTTTTGCTTATAATGTTATATTTTAGTTGATTTTTTTGCTATTGTATATTTTAGTTGCAAAACTCTTTAATCTAATGGGGATATAATTTGATATATAGCTAACAGACAGTGATATTTATATAATTTGATATATAGTTAACAAACAATGAAAGTTTTTTTTTTTTTAATAACATCTTCGCTTCCAACAAGGCTGCAAGCAACCACTGATTAGTGTTGGAAGTTACTGTAAGTGAAAAGATGAAGATTGTAGAGCAAGATAACGATTGATAGACGACTTAAAAGATTGCGAATTATATGAATCAGGAAAGCAAGATGAAGGAAGTGAATTCCAAAGAGAATGAATTTTAGTAGATGGCACAAGAGACGCTAGCTCTTTATAGCAGTGCCCATTATAGTATTTGTAGAAAAGAGAAAGAGAAGCAACATTACGACGATGTGACAAAGGTTGAAGGTTGGCTGCAAAAGCAGGTCCAACTATGTTTACAATGCATTTTTGCATCTTGTCTAAAAGAGAAAGAGCATCATTAGAAGATCCGCCCCAGATATGGCAACAGTGTTCCATACAAGGGTGGATTTGAGATTTATAGAGATTGAGAATAGAATCCAGATTAAGAAAGTGTCGAGCTTGATAAAGAGATGCAACTTTAGCAAATGCTAATTTTGCAACGGATTTGATAAGAAAGATCAGAAGTAATATAAGTGTAAGTGATATTTATATAATTTGTATAAAAATGTAAGTGATATTTATATAATTTGATATATAGCTAACAAACAGTGATATTTTTATAATTTGATATATAGCTAACAAACAGTGATATTTTTATAATTTGATATATAGCTAATAAACAGTGATATTTATATAATTTGATATGTAGCTAACAAACAGTGATATTTATATAATTAAAATGCTCTTGAAATTTAGTAGTATTTATATATAGTTTATAATATTTATATATGAAATATATTTGAAATAAAATTGTCTAATTTTATTTGTCTAATTGTATGATTGTCTACAAATTTAGTAGTTTATTTTTCTTGTCAAATATAACTTCTAAACCAATCAGTTTAAGATTAGATTTGAAGTTTCGGATTTATCAAGACTTCAATACCTGGTACTTCAATATTTTGGTAAATTATTCCATCTAAAAAGCAAACCTGTTTGTAAAGTTTTCTTTTCTACTTAAACAATTTTTTGATCAGTTCAGATGTAACACGATGTTTGTAACCTCTAATACTAGAAGCTAAATGTATTAATTAAATGCTTTAAACTTTCTTCACATCAATTGATTTGAAGCATTTGTATGTATGCATGTATGTATATATATATATATATATATATATATATATATATATATATATATATATATATATATATATATATATGTGTGTGTGTGTGTATATATATATATGTATACATATATATATATATATATATATATATATATATATATATATATATATATATATATATATAATATATATATATATATATATATATATATATATATATATATATATATATATATATATATATATATATATATATATATATATATATATATATATATGTATACATATATATATATATATGTATACACATGGCCTACTTAAATACACGGCCTTCTAATCTGCTTAAATCGAAAAAAAATAGAAGGCCAGTTGAAATAACGTATATTCTATTATATGGACAGACTCTCTCAAAATGTTTTAAATATTGCGCTATAAATGTTAAGTAAGTAAATCTGACACCGGATAAAAGTTTTTGCGTTAGATTAATGCCAAACTGTATTGTTATTTGTGACTACTTTTTAATTATTAATAATAATAATAATAATGGTTAATAAATGCTGTGTTGTTTGTTGTACCTCTAATTATAATGGTGGTGAAGTAGTCCCAGTTTTTGGTTTTCCAAAAGATGATGACTTAAGAAAGTTATGGATTAGATTTGTAAACAGAAATTTCTGGACTGTCACTAAATCATCTGTGATCTGTTTAAAACATTTTGATGAAAATTTAATACACAAAGGAGCATCAGCAAAACGATTTCGTTTGTTGTATAATTTAAAGCCTGTTCCTACAATATAACATAAAAGAATGTTATAGAAGCATTGTTTCCTTCATGGTAGTTGGTTTAAAAGAAAATATCTCTTGTGTCGTCAAAGTAGTTCCAATTATAAAATTAAACAGTGATTGGTTAAAGACTGAAATTCTTAACCTGATTCAATCTTTAATAAAAAATAGTTTTAATGTTCGAGGTGTTG